GAAGCACATTTCCAAGTCAAAATGTACAAAACACCGCAACCTCGGACCACTTTTGGAAGTTGAGATGTCGAAAAAGTGCACGCCGTTGTGGCGCGAAGCACATTTCCAAGTCAAAATGTTAAAAACACTAGGGGTTCGGACCACTTTTGGAGGTTCAGATGTCGAAAAAGTGTCGAAAAAGTGCACGCCGTTGTGGCGCGAAGCACATTTCGAAGTCAAAAGTGTAAAAAACTGAGGGTTTTGAGCCTTTTTTGACGTGAAGATGTCGAAAAAGTAGACACTGATTAACTTAACTAACTTGACTAACTTAACTAACTTCACTAACTTAACTACCCTAACTTCGACGACAACAGCAACAACAACAACAACAACAACAACAACGCCAACCACAACAACTACAACTACAACTACAACAACTACACAACAACTACAACTAGAACTACAACTACAACAGCTACAACAACAACAACAACAACAGCAACAGCAACAGCAACAACAACTACAACTACAACTACAACAACTACAACTACAACTACAACTACAACAACAGCAACAACAACTACAACAACAACTACTACAACTACAACTACAACTACAACTACAACAACAGCAACAACAACAACAACTACAACTACAACAACTACAACAACAACTACTACTACTACTACTACAACTACACTACACAACAACTACAACCACACAACAACTACAACTACAACAACTACAACTACAACTACAAAACAACTACAGCTACAACCATATGACTGCAACTACACTACACTAATTACATTACACCACAGCTACAACTCCACTACGCTACAACTACAACTACAGTTGCAGTACATCACACTACATGCAGCAGTTGTGGGTGAGGTGACCACTGCAACCATTGCAACCATTCCAGCAAACACAACTCCAACCACCTTTCGGTCAATCAGTGGCTTCGCTCTGCCATCCCTGATTCACAACAACCAACTTCTCCTATAGGTTTCCTATTTTTGAAACTTTCGCCACCGCCTTGTGCGGTACTACTGGTTATCCGAAGGAAGTTTAGAAGTCAAACTTCCGACAATAAGGACAGATGAAAAGCAGAGCAGGGCAGAGGCAGAGAGAAGAGAAAGATTAGAAGAGAGAAGATCAGAGAAGAGAAAGAGTTAGAAAGAAGATGCAGGCGCGCGAAAAGTAGACAAGGCGCGGAGCATTGTGTTTTTCCAATGTTTTGTGGCCCCAGAGGGTCGAAAAGTAGGCTCGCTAAAGCGGCGGTGCGGAGCCATCTGGTCAAATGAAAGATGAAAAATTGCTAGTAACTTTCGAAATCGAAATAATCAAAATACTTCACCATCGTGGCGCTTTTGGCAGTGAAAGTGGTGCGAAGTATATGTGGAAATCAAAGTCCGCAAAACCCACCATTCTCGGAACATTGGACGAAAAAATGAATGCAGTTGTGAATGTGTTTCGAAAACAAAATGCACGCACCACTGAGGGAATTCTACTTCAGAAAAATATTTTTTTTGTTTATTCATTTAATATTATATCAGTAGTACCACACAAGGCGGTGGCGGAAGTGCGGAAGTTTCAGAAATAGGAAGCCTATTGGAGAGGTTGGTTGTTGAGAATTACGGATGGCAGAGCGAAGCCACCGATGGACCGACAGGTAATTGAGGTCTTGTCTCTTTTTTTTCTTTTTCTGACTATCTACCTACCTATCTGTCTATCTATCTATCCATCCATTTAGCACCTGTCACACAAAATTATCTCAGCAAACCTGAAGATCTACTGCTCCAAAATGCAACCCCTCTTAGGAAATCAGCGTCCGGACCTCTAATAGCTCTGATGAACATGTCTCCTGTATTACAGCTGTTACGGAAATTATATCTTTTGCAGATATCTATTTATCTATGTGAATGCATGTGCTTGGCATGGATGATCATTGACTGAGGTGTAGATTCCGCGGTTATTTGGCTTCTGAGGCCTAAGCCACTTCGCCACGTGTGAAAAGGTGCCATGGCTTAAGCTTCGTTTTGTCGTTGCAGCTGCCTGTCATCTGACAGTGGTACTCGGAGCTTTGGTGCGATCTTTTTGGGCCACTGCGCAACTTCGATCCCTAGCATTGCACGTCCCTTGTTGCTTGGTTGGTGTCGGCCGCATTGATTTGGCAGCTGGGCGTTTCACGAATCCCAGAATTCACTTTTTGTTTTTGATTTCACCCATACCTCAATCATCCACCAAATGGCTGAAGATGACAAAGGGTATGGACCTTGGAGCAGGGTTCCTGGATGGGACGGATCCCCATTGAGCTGGCTGCGATTCAAGCGGGATGTCACATGGTGGTTGAGCAGTTTGGATCTTTCGAAGACAACTGGCTACAACCTTGCCGCTCATTTTCTCCTTAGACAAGAAGGTGTGGCACGACAGCGCGGCGAAGAATTTAGTCCGGATGAGCTGGCATTTGTTCCTCCCCCGAAGATAGTCGACCCCTTGACTGGTGAGCAATTGGATGATCCCGATGCCGTGCCCGACTATTTGGTTGGAGTGAACAAATTGTTGAAAGCTTGGGAAGAAATGACTGGCCGCACTGCCTTGGATAAACGAGGTGAACTTCGTCAGGCCTTCTACATGGACCTTAGCAGAAAAGCTGGCGAGCGAGTGAGTGAGTTTGGCACTCGCTATCGCTCATTGGTGGCTGATCTCAAAGGAGAAGGAGTCATTGTGGGCGATGCCGAGCTCGGTGGGTGGCTCAGACAGAAGATCGGCTTGGATCCTTTGCGAAAACAGCTGCTGGAAACTGCCTTGCAAGGCAGTGAGGACTACTCGGTAATTGAGGCCGAGATTTTGCGCCTTTTCAGAGATCTGCATGACAATGATCCATTGTATCGGCGACCTGAGAATCGACCGCCTTTGACGATTCGCAGGATGTTTGGTGGCAGATCTGCATCAGCTACATCGTCGGCTCCATCGACGCTTTCAAGAATGACTTCAGCGTCCTCTTGGCAGAGACCTTCTTCGATGAAATCTGGCACTTCAACGCGTCAGGTCAACATCACTGAGAATCCTGACGAAGAAGCAGCCGTGGAGGAGGAGTTGCATGATGAAGCTGAGGGGCAAGATGGTCCTTCCTCTTCACTGGAGGAAATCCTGCAGACTGAGGCCGAGGTGCTTGCGGCTGAATTGCATGAAGCTGAACTAGAAGGTGTCGATCCCTCAGTGCTTGATTCCTTGGAGAGCGGCATCGAGCAAGCTGCTGAGACCCTGGTGACAATGAGGGAGGCTCGACATCAGCTGCAGTCGGTTCGCAAGGACCGTGGATATGGCAAGTCTGATGGATCGACTTTCAAGCATAGCGGCAGCTCTCAAGTGGCCAATCGAAAAGCTTCTGGAAAATTCCCCTGCTATGACTGTGGCGAGAACGGCCACTGGGCCGGTGATGCTGCTTGTAAGAAACCTGGTCAAGGACTTGGAAAGAAGAAGAATGATGGTCGCAGGCCTTTGCGACAGGTTCGAGTTGCAGAACATGAAAGCTGTGCGTCTTCTCATGCCTCGCCTGGAGGCCATGCAGCTGATGTGGTGGAGCATGCGCTGCCATCGCATGACGTTTTGGTTGCAGAGGTGCTGCTGAGTGGAAAATTTGCGATGTCCGAGCCGGTTTGTGGTTCAGAAGCTCTTAACTTAGAGCAAGCCTTGACCCAGTCAATTTCACAGGGTGTTTCCATGATCAAGACCCCCGATGGACTTTCACCTGCTAAAAAATTGGTATACTTTGGACTCAGCATGCAATAGAACATGTGCTGGACCTGAATGGTTGCGTGGTTATCTACTTGTACTTCAACAAGCCCCTAACCATGTCAAAGACCTTGTGCAGATGCAGGTTGAGTCTGAGAATTTTAGGTTTGGTAACAACGGTGTGGTTTCCTTATTGCAAAGATTGCGACTTCCTGCACTCATTGGTGAAACCTTGGTTCTCATTTGGGTATCTACGATTCCAGTCAGTACTTTGGACTTTTGCAAGCGCACTATCCAGTGCTCCCACATTGCTTCTGGCATTCTGCAACTGTATCAGATGGTGGCAGGTCACTTCAGACTGGAGCTGCTGCCGAAGCTGCCCGAGCAATGGGATGCGCCAACTCAGTCATTGGGCCGTTGGCGAAAATGTGGTTAAGATGGTGTTGTTGAGTTGTGGATAACACGTCCTCAATGGGTCTAGTATAAGTTGCAACATGATCCCATGTAGTTTGTGAAGTGTTATGATCATTTGTTGACAAAATCGAGTTTGCAAGTATGTTTATGTGAACCTGAAGCGGCAAAGCTCTTGCGCGCTACTCCTCCGGGAATTTGATTTCGGCTCGAGCGTTTTTGAAGCGTGTTCGCAAGCGATCATTCCATGGAATTACCAAGCAATCGAGAAAGATGCGGAAATCGATGGATTCGCTTGATTTCCAGGCTTATTATCTGAAAACATTGTTACGATCATGATATTTTCCTATGGGTCTTAAAAAAAACGCACTTGCACTTCTTACCTTTGCCCTATCATGTGGTCAATTGCCACCGAATCTATGATGAAGTTGAAGGTCTGGCCTGCAGCCTATTTGAATAAAGGTATTAAGATAATAAACCCTTCCGTTCTTTCGGAGTGTTTTTGGCTGCGCGATCGTCTTGGATTCCATATGGCGTTTTTTGGAGGACCCCATGGTTGGCAGCATGTTGATGATCAAAGGCCTTCTAGGGCAAAAAGCAGCAGTCCACAGAGAAGCAAATAAAACATGCCCAAGAAATTGCTCAGAAGCAAGTACAAGCTGGCCAACAGAACCTTTCTATCAAAGACCTGATTGGGCCTCGCGGTGGATTACCTACCTTGAAGAAGGACTTGGTGCGGCTGGCAACACTTTTGCATCAACAGACAAGATCGAAATCTTGAAAGAAAAGATCCGTGGTTCCCTGGCGACGGTGATCAGTACTGTGAAAAATCGGAACTCTCCTTCCAAATAAACAAGGATGCTACCATGATGCCTTGGTTACCGACTCCGCCCAAAGGTTCGCCAATTATATCAAGGACAACAGTATCAGCGTCTTCCTACGGCGCAGACAGCGCCAAACTGATGGAGTTGGAGGCAAAGTTGCAGCAGACCATCGAAAACCAGGATTTCAAGTTCAAGGACATATTAACACAGATAATGGTTTTCTTCCAGACAACCTCCCAATCCATGCAAGGGTACTCGGAGGTTTGGATTTTGCCGAAGGAAGCCAATCATGGACCAATACAGATGGACAACGGGGATGTCGTCGATCAAGCAGCTCGACAGATGGGCATCACCAGAAACCAAGCCATCGAGCTGAATGCGATCCGCCTGCGAGACCTGGCAGAAGGTCAGATGAGCAAAGCACCTAACGGGATACGTTGGAAAATTGAAGGACAATATCAAGACCGGCATGAAGCAGATGGGGATTGTTATTGTTGTGACAGAATTGCAGTCTCTAAAAGCAAATTTGAAGTCTATGAGGTAATGGAAGCCATATGTGATTAGGAAATTCGAGACAGCATAAATGAAACATTTGTGTTGGAGGTGGATTTTCCTGATCCAGTCATTACCGAGGTATACACTGTTATTGAATTGAGCCGGTTGTCCGCGTTGAGAGGAGGTGAAAGCTTGACCTTCAAAACCGGCTGGAACTTTCTTTTGGAAGAATACCGCACTCAAGCGTTGAAACTGGTGCGACAACTTCGCCCTTATGTCCTGGTCATTGCATTCCCCTGTGGTCCTTGGACCTCTATCAAGATTCTCAATAGTAACGTCACGGTTGTGCCAACATCAAGGTTGAGAATATTCGAGAGGAAGTCAAAATCCTTGTGACCTTTCCGGTGGAGCTATGTCTAGTTGACCTCAGGACGACATTTCCTGCTGGAGAATCCACTGACTAGGAATGATATTTTTATAGCGCTGATCGATCAGATGTTTTTTGGAGTTTGCAGAGCGTCTGCGAGCTTCATGCAAAGGCAACCAAATTGGCCACTTCCTCTCAGGCATGGGTATCATTGGTACAAGGTCGACGATATGACGGGCAAGATCAGCATGTTCCAGTGATTGGAGGCAGCAAGGTGACTCAACCAGGGCCACTATCCCCCTGCTTTTGCGGCTGCCATCGTGCGATCCTTCCAGAACCAGTTCGACTTTGAATCAACGAGGCCATGGCAACTGAGCAGAATTAACCCTTGGCTGATGACTCTTCAGCTGACTAGCTGGCAGCTGCAATCGCTGAGGAGAAAGATTTCACCATCAACCCTGCCGTCAAAGAGACACTCTGCAGCCGGCATGAGAACACAGGCCATCCAGGTCGGCGTCGACCTGCCCGTGCTCTTTTGATTTGTGGAGCCCCCAAAGAGGCCATTCTTGCAGCCAACAGATTGCAATGCTCAGTTTGTGCTGAACAACGTGAACCCAAGCCAGGAAGACCGGCTTCCTTTTGTCAGACCCGGCAGCTTGGTGCCAAAGATAACATTGATTTGCTCTTGTTGGAACATTCCTTCCGCCAGAACTTTGTGGTTGTTTTCGTGACCGACAGCATCAGCGAGCGCCTGGAGAAGCGTTTGCAAGAGCATAAGGATGGGCGGGGCACGTTGGATATTTGTTGGACTGTGACATACTATGACTATGAACTCCAACTGATGATCATTGAACTAAGATTATGATTAAACTCGATGAAGTTCGAGCAAAACCCAACCCAAAAACCCTTGTGAATATCAGCGCAAAAATTCGATGCATTAACATCCTAGTACTCCGTAGGATGTTGGTCCTAACATGTACTTTCTTAACATATCTAAACATCTACCCACAGCCAAACAGATCCGACTATTTCAATCACCAAGTCAGCAGGATTTTTCCCGCCTGTTGACGGAAAAAAATATAAGGGAGACGATGTCTGATAACGTGGCCCATGACAAGACCAATGACATGACCCAAGACATGATCCACCGGGCCGCGTTGCTGTCACAGGATGCACTGGTGTTGGAATTGGGCATCTTGTCGTGCAATCACGCAGATAGCAAAGTATAGAATGACCTTTAGGGGGTTCACTCTATTTCGCTTTGAACTTTCAACATGAGCATCTCACGCAGGGGCATATCATTCCAAAAGCCAGTGTGTTTTCTGGGGTGTTTCATTTCACTGTAGAATCACGTTTCGATCACATTGGTGTGCATTGGTATACATTGGCATTGACCGCTTGATCGCTTTTGTTAAAATTATTTTCGCATTCGAGTTGCATTCTATAACGGAAACACTTGCTCAGAGATGTTGTTTTTATGCATGTAAAGATTTATATGAGAGTGTGACGTTTTTCTTTCGGCGAAACCCCCATTTCATTCTACAAGAGAACGAAATTGTTCATTCAGTAAACGTTTTGACCCACACTTTCATGTCATGAGGAGTTCCGGTTTGTAGAACGTGTGCCCACAGTGCTTGGGAACAGCGACTCGGTAATATCGAACAACTTTGCGTAGCCCAGGCC